GGCTTCCCACAGGTGAGTTAGGTCTTTCTTGTCTTTATTTTTCTCTAAAAAGACAGGAAGAGACAGGAAAAAACCCAAAAAAACACCTCTAAGTGATGTAAGTTCCTGGGCGCAGAGTACTGCTGTGGGCCCAGTGAGCTGTCACAAAGAACAGAAAAGGCAGTTTTTACTTCTAATAAGATAACATTGGCAGGTAGGTGACCTAGGTGGGCAGGAGCGGGGCCATGTGCATATGGGACTCTCCATAGGCGGAGTAGCCCCTGGGATTTACCCAAGTACAAACAAAAACATTAGAGATTTTAAGGCCATGAGAATAATGACTAATGCCTTTAAATTCAAATATGGCCAGTCTACTTACCTTTCTAGGGACCTCGTGGACTTTTATTTACTTCTCTTCTCTTCCCTTCATTTCCTCATTAATCACATTTATCCTGTGACACTGTGTGTGGTTTGCAAGCCTCCTTTCATCTTTTTTTGGAGCAGGATGGGACTGTTAACCCATAAGTTAGAAATGATTTTACAATATAAGCTTCGGCGATTTTGATTCTGATATTTTAAGGTGTTATTTTTGTCCTCTAGATAGTTCTTTTCAATAGTATCCTGTTCTTATTTAATGGAGGTAAACTACATTTCTTCTCCTGTCTCTCTGGGAATAGTAATAAGACTTAAATGATTGTTCCTTCTCAGAGTGTCTCCTCGAGGTCTTTCTCCCAGGTTGCAGGCTTTTCTCAGTGATGCTGGCTTGTCTGGTTGGGGTGCTGAAGAGCTGCCTCGAAGCGCTGAGTGGGTGGGTGGGCTTCCTTGGAGAGTGGCCCAGGGGTTTCTTCTGAGGCATCCCCAGTGGCAGAGGGGTAGGCCTTTCCTCTTGCACTGGTCATCACCACAGAGGCCTCTCCCAGCCTCCAGGCTGGAGGGCAAAGGCCGGGCCGTGAGCTCCTGGGAGCCGAGTAGAGAGGGCTGGGGTCTCAAAAGTAAGCATCAGTGTTCTCTATGTGCACGGCCACATGATCGCCCTCTGTGCAGTGGCCCTCAGCTGTGCTGGCCAGCCAGCCTGCGCGTGGAGCTTGGTGGACCCTCCCTTCCCTCCCAGTCCTAAGTACTGGAACTCCACTATCAGGGTAGGGGAGTGAGAAGGGAGATCTAGGGATCAAGTTTCATCTCAGACAACTTCCACCAAATCCCTCTTTTGTGTCCCTCCCCTTGTTTACTTGATCCAAAGGCAACTGCTGGGGCCAGTTCATGAGCCTTCTGGGTATGGGGCAGGTTGGTTTGCAGCTTCCCAGGCTGCGGGCTTTAGGTTTGGCTCTGAGTCTGCTAAGTCAGTCACACTGTCCATCAGCCCCCTCCCCTCCCCGCCTTTTTTTATTGTTTGTTTGTTAATCCTCACCTGAGGATATTCTTTCCATTGATTTTTCAGGGAGAGTGGAAGGGAGGGAGGGGGATATAGAGATAGAGATAGAGAGATAGAGGTAGAGATAGAGGTAGAGAGAAGGAGAGGGAGGGAGGGAAGGAGAGAGAGAGTGAAGGAGAGAGAGAAAGAGAGACATCGATTGGTTGCCTCCTGGAGGCACCCTGAATGGGACCAGGGCTCGAACCTGCCACCCAGGTATATGCCCTTGACTGGGAATTGAGCCTGGGACCCTTCAGTGCACGGGCTGATGCTCTAACCACTGAGCACACTGGGCCAGGGCTATCCATCAGCTTTTGTGTGGTTGTCATCCTCTCCTTTCCTATTTTTTCCATCCTTATACATTTCTATCTTTAAAAAAAATCTCTTACCTTGGGAGGAAGAGATGCTGGATACATTTGTTCACTGTCATGATAACCCAGTAGCTCATTAGTTACATTGTGAATTTCATTTTCCCACACAGCTCACTCTCCTTTTACTTCACTGGCTTGAGATAGTCCATTATGTAACTTCTTTGGCTCTTGCTTTTCTTCTCTGTAAGAGAGGAATAGTCTTACCTACTTTTCTGGTTGTTGCTGCAGCTACTCTGAGTTACCACATAGGTTTTAGGGATAAAATAAACAGTTCTGGCAAAATCAGGCTTATGGGGCGATGGTGACGATCCTCCCGGGTCAGTGAAAATACTCAGGCCTGATCTCTGATCTCTGATTCTCATCCTTCCTTCTCAACCAACAATTTAGCAGGACCCTCAGCTTCTGTTGACATAGCCCTTTGGGGAACAGCAAAGTGCACTTATCCATGTTAGAGGCCACAGCCCTCCCCGGCCAGGGACACGGATGACCACGATGGTCTTGGAACTTTTGGAAGAGGAATCATCCTCACCATTCCCCTTTCTGCTCTCTCCTCTTTTTCTTCTAAGTAACACACACCTTACTTTCCCCTCCACAAATAAGAACCTCCCCTCTCTCTCTGACTGGCATTTCCCTTTTCCTGCCCAGCCCATTTCCCGGTCCCTGGCCCTGGTGGAAACACCTTAATATGTGACACTTCATCCACTTACCCTGCTACCCCCCAGGCAGTACCTTTGCTCCCATGGTCTGCAGAGCGGGGAGCAGTCAGGCCATCCCAGGAGCAAGGCCGAGTGCAGCAGGGAGGGGCTCACTGGCTTCAGCAGGGTCTTCCACTCTGGTGCTGCTGAAGGGGCCAAGATTTCTCCTAGAACCCTCCACGCACGAAGGGAACCCCTGGTTCCATAGGGGCAGAGGAGAGAAGTTTCCCGACCTATTGAAAGGGATATGAGCCCTGACCGGTTTGGCTCAGTGGATAGAGCGTCGGCCTGCGGACTGAAGGGTCCCGGGTTCGATTCCAGTCAAGGGCATGTACCTGGGTTGCGAGCCCATCCCCAGCAGGGGGCGTGCAGGAGGCAGCTGATGGATGTTTCTCTCTCTTCGATGTTTCTAACTCTCTATCCCTCTCTCTTCCTCTCTGTAAAAAAATCAATAAAATATATTTAAAAAAAAGAAAAAAGAAAAGGATATGAACCTCCTTTCCAGCAAAAATACCCAGCCTCTCTTCCCATTCCCACAGCCCGTTGCCCCTGAGGACAGTGGAGAGTGGACGAAGCATCTGGAGCAAAGAGTATGTCGTCTCCAGTATGAGTGCAAGTGGACGTGCATGTAGAGGGGACCGAGGAGGGAGCTGGGACCTGGCTCACTCCAGTCTGTGGCGGTGGCCAAGGAAGAAGGGACTGATCCTGGTGGCAGTGGAGAAAGCGTTGTGGGGAGCTGGAGGGCAAGGGGGACCGTGGGCAGCTGAATAAGGGGTGGTGCTGGCCCGGCTGGCAGGCATGCTCTTTCCCGACTCCATGCTGGTGGTGGCTGGCTGAGCCCGGAGCAGGGAGCCTGCTCAGGAAGCATGGCACACACACGTTTGAGCACTGTGATCCAATGGCGCTCACCACCAAGTTTCCTCAGACACATTTGGTGACATGAACACATTTGACGCCTGATTCCCATGGGCATGAAAATCAAGCATCCTTGGCAGTTCCCATAAACGACTATGATGAGTATTATACCTGGTCGGGCAGGCCTCCTGGGTCAGCGGGGAGGACCTCGGTAGAACAGGAGCCAGCTCCCTGGTGGACTTGTACCTCTGTGACAGTGCCCGGGTCCGTCCTGCTCTCTGTCCAGGCCCCTCCTCACGGGACAAGCTCAGCTGCTATCTCCTAACTCCCTCCCTACTTCCCAGCCAGTTTCCTCCAGGGCTGATCTTCAGTGTCAGCATAAGGACATGGACCAAATCCCTCTCCTGGGGGCAGAGGAATGGAAGGTCTCAAGCCTGAGCCCCAGGATCTGCCATGGCTCCCAATGGGGTGGCTGGAGTGAGAGGGGAACAGAGGGGATGCGATGCCCTCGTGAGGTATGTGGATCCCAAGGTGTTCCCCATGGAAACGTGGGGGCATTGTTTCCCGGGGATGGGAGTGATGTAGTTTCCCATCAGGCTCCCTGCCCTGCCCCCTCACCCTCCCTCTCTTCCTCTGGGGAGGGCAATGCCCAGGGGTCCTCTAGGCTTCTCTGGCAATGTCCTCCGGGGCCTCATCGGAAGGATGGGGGCTAGTGGATAGACCCAGGTATAGGTGGATGGACAACACAGGAGGACATGGAGCTGCAGGCGGAGGTGCTGGGGCTGGGTGTAAGGAGTCCATGACAAATGGGTGGGTGTCACCCAGGAGAAGGTATTAGAGGGTTGGATTCCAGGGACGAGACAGGTGGGGTGGGGTATGCATTTGCAGGCAGGGAGGAGCCAGGAGGAAGTTGAGCTGATGGAGAGGCTGAGTGAGGCTCACTATAAAGCAGCTCTGCCCTCTTCCTGCCACTAAAAATACCTCCTTCCCAGACAGCCCTCCTCTTTCCTGCACCCCTGCCGGGCTTTGTCGGGCATGGAGCGGGGAAGGGCCTGGTTCAGAAGCTGGACTTACCTGGGTGTGGGGCTGAGAGGGTCTGCTCTGGGCTCAGTCTCAGAGCAGGAGGTGTGGTTCTCCAGCCTGCAGCCCCACATGCAAGAAAGCTGAGGCCTGGGAGCCAACTTGGAGGGAAGGAAATAGCAGCTGCCGGCAGCATCCTCCTTACACAGGACCTCCTGGCAGAACCAGCAAATCCCAGAGCGGAGGGAGGGAGCTCTTGGCAGGTGCAGCCTGACCCCGCCCGGCTGCGAGGTGAATGATGCTGAGGTTAGGACCTGGGAGCCTTGCCAATCTGGGTTGGATGCTCTGATGTAACGCTCACTAGGTCTATGGCGTGAAGCAAGTTGCTCCATCTTCCAACAGGGATAACACAGTACCTGGCTCAGAGGAAGCATGCAAGTGACAACTGTTATGATGATGGTTTCTCCCTGCATCTATGTACCCATGATGCAGTCACCATCAGGGCTCTGGCCTCTACAAACGGGTTTATATGCAAACCTGTCTGAAAAGGCAGGTTCCTTCCTTTCCCCACGCAGTGCCCCACCGCTCCCCCTCTGCCTGGGCTCGGGTGCACCCCGACGCTGAGTTCCAGGCTCTGATGCTAACCCCTGCCCTCCTGCTTACCCACAGACCTGCGTAGGATGACAGCCGGCTTCATGGGCATGGCGGTGGCCATCATCCTCTTCGGCTGGATCATCGGCGTGCTGGGCTGCTGCTGGGACCGAGGCCTTATGCAGTATGTGGCCGGGCTTCTCTTCCTCATGGGAGGTAAGGTGCAGGTTGGGGGGCCTGTCGGGGGAAAGGTCTGGTTACTGGGATTCTGGAGGAACGGCTAAGTGCACAGCAGATGAAAGCCACAACTCTGTGGGGCTCTACCCATTCATTCATTCATTTACCATTTTTTTGAATTCTTCTTAATCACATGTCCCTGCACTAGCTGCTGGGGATGCAGAGTCTAATGAGACTAATAAGGTGTGATCCTTGCCTGCTGTGGGGGACGGTGCAGCTATGGCATTGAGGCGGGTATCAGACGCAGAGTGAGCGTGAACCCCAGAGATCCTTGGGCATTTTATACACACACTAGACTTCAGGGTGGAAGTGGGTGCTATCTGGGCAGTTTCCCCTTTAAAAGCTTCACCCTTGATTTATGCTTCCTAAATGCTGCTCCTGTTTCCAAATGAGGCACCTGCCCTCGTGCCTGCCCCTTACTCTCTGACTGCCATGGCCATAGGACCAGTCCAGTCCTTAGGAAGGGACTGTAGATGAACCATGTGGCTGTGCAGGAGCAGGTCCCAGTCCACGGGAAGTGAGTGCTAATCCACAGTCACAGGTGCCTCCTTTCTCCCTGAAGAGCTAAAATGTGCCCTTTGGTCTCCTGGTGTGAGCCTCAGATGGAAGCAAAGCGAAGCATTGGGTGTGCCCGTCACAGTCTGCCCCGCAGGGAAGAGTGCATTGACGAATAGCAGAGCCAGGTAGAGGGGAATTGGGCTTGGATTGAGGGAATTAGAAGTGTTTATGGAAAGAAAGGAAAATGAGTCCTACCACTGGAAACAAATGTCAGTAAGACTTTGGGCTCCATGTGCCTCTGTCCAGCCCAGGTCCCTGTGGTGGATGCCTGGCTCTGGGGTCTGAGCAGAGGAGGGAGGAGAGGAGCAGGCCAGCTGGGGAAAGGAGGTGGCCGTGCCTCTAGTGTGCACAGGTCTCCGGGGCTGTGAGCAAAGGGCTGGGAGAAGAGGAGAATGGCAAGACTCATCCTGGGGCCTGCCCATGGGGCCCACACCTGCGGTTATGGCAGAGGCTGGTGGAGGGAGGGTCTAGGTGGCTCTCTCTAGAGCAGTGGTTCTCAACCTTCCTAATGCCGCGACCCTTTACTACAGTACCTCATGTTGTGGTGACCCCCAATTTCATTGTTAAAATTGAACATAATTAAAGCATAGTGATTAATCACAAAAACAATATGTAATTATATATGTGTTTTCCGATGGTCTTAGGCGATCCCTGTGAAAGGGTCATTTGACCCCCAAAGGGGTCGCGACCCACAGGTTGAGAACCACTGCCCTAGAGGTTCCCACACCCCTCCTCCTGAGCTCCCACAAAACCAGCCCTGCTGACCTTTTCCATGCCTCGATGTCCTCCTCAGTGAAACCAGGGGGAGCCTGGTTTTCAAACTGTTTTAGTAGCAGCTAAATCCTTTCGGTTCCCACTTCCAGTCAAAATCTTGCGTGGACCCTGAAATGTAAGAAGGTAGAGTGGATGAGCTCTGTTTGTAGTGAGTGTTCTTGCTAAGACTCTTGGTTTTACAAAGATGGGCTCCAGTAACACGGGGCTTTTCTAGGGCTTGGAGGGTCTCCCAGGAATCTGAGAAAAGCGGAGCAAACAGGCCTCGGGCTGAGCAGGAATAGAAATGGGAGCTCTTGGAGATGACGCTCTCTCATCACCTCCTCCTCCAGCTCTCTGCACACATCCCCTGCTCCCCCTCTCTCCAGGCCAGGCATGTGGCTCACATCTGCCCAGGTGCTAAGTCTCCAGGGTCCGTCCACTTCCTTCTGGGCTGCTAAAGACAGAGAGGGAACATTAGTGTCCTTGCAGAGAGCCCAGAGCAGCTGCCATCTGCTGAGTCCATGGGTGGGCTTTGTGAGGATCTAGGGAGGAGCTACTCAGGAGCAGAAGCTGTGCTTCCCCTCACCTGCCCAGCAGGGGGAGCTACACTGAGAGGCTGGGGTGTTGACCCAGAAATGATGCCTTGATCCATAACAACCTGTGTGTCAAAAAGAGATGTTTCGGTACCAACCCTTCTCAGAACCTGACCAGTCCTTGCCCTCCAAGAGTTGACCTTCTAGGTTGATCTGTGGATTAAATGGGAGAGCTGGCCACCCGTGACAGCATCTCATGGACACAGCAAAGCAGCCAGCCACTCAAACTATAGTTTGTATGGCAAAGTGAGATAAGGCCCACGGCCTTAGCTTGCAGACTGGATTTCAGGCACCTGTAACTGAGCACAGACAGGTGCCAAAGAGTTAGATTGGGCGACAGGTGAGACCAGCTGGTGGGGACCAACCTCAGCAGTGCTTGGGAGCTGGCCAGTCCTGGTGAGCAGGTGCAAAAGGAGGGGTTGGCAAGAGTGCAAAGGTAAGTTTGAAGTCAAGAGTCCGAAGGTGGAATTGAGATTGACTTTGGGTGAACCGACTAGGGCCAAAGTGAAAACGGAAGAGCTCTCCTCACAACCTGTTCGGATGTGAAGGAAGAGGGCCCACACTGAGCACGTCTCTGCTCCACATTGAACTGTTTCCCTGGGCTAGAGAGAGGGCGCCCCACACCTTGTGAAATAAGCAGCAACAAATTGTTTAATTAACACTCAACCCAGAGGAGGCAATTAGTTAAGTAGGGCAGCTTTGTTGAGCCAGGAGGCTGGGGGTGGTGGGTGGGATCCAGTTTTCCCTTTGGCAGGGGCTCCAGGGGAGAATCTAGCCCAAACTGGCACAACACCATTCCGGTGCCAGCAACTGCCAGAGACAAGTGTCTTGATGAATCATCAGTGGTAGTCTGCGCAGGAATAGGATGGCACAGGGGAAAGACAGCCTGGCGAGGCAGTGTATGACTGCTACGCTTACTTGTGATCCACTGGCGGGGTGAGCCTCAGAGCCGCCTCATGCACACAGATCTACAAGATGACTGTGAGCATCCAGCGCATGCCCTCCCCATCCTCCCACGCTCTTGGGAGACATCCATCATCTCTGGCGCCGCCTGGACAAAGCCTTCATGAGCCCTCATCTAGGCTGGAGACCCCTATCTAGACGCTGACTCCATTCTGCCACCCAGCAACCAGTCCTTTACAGAGCAGTTAGCATCATTTCTAAAAAAAACTATAAAGCAGATATGTCACTCATCAGCTACCGGTGCGCCAAAGGTCTCCAGTTGAATTTAAAATCCAAATTCCTTTCTCTTCTTTGGAAGCTGTCTTAGACAACTTGGGCTGCTGTAACAAAATACCATAGACTGGGTGTTTATAAACAATATGCAATTATTTCTCTGTTCTGGAGGCTGGGAAGTCCAAGGTCAAGGCACTGAACCATTCAGTGTCTGTTGAGAACCTACTTTCTGGTTTATAGATGACACCTTCTTGCTGTGTCCTTTCATGGAGGAAGGAGTGAGGGAGCTCTCTGGGGTCTCTTTTATAAGGGCACTGATTCCATTCCTGAGGGTTCTACCCTCCCAATCTAAGCACCTCCCAAACGTCTCTCCTAAGACCATCACCCTGGGGTTAGGACTTCAACATAGGAATTTGGGGGCACACAGACATGCAGTCTATAGCAGGGGCCCTATGTAATCCGGCTCATTCTCTCACCCTCTTTCCTGTTCCTTCCCCTACACTCATGTCACTCCACCCGTGGGCTGCCTTTGTGTCCTGGAACACAGAATGTTAAGTCTAGGCACCGACGGAGCTGGTGGGCCGCTTTGCCTGCAGTGTTTTCCCACCAGTGTCTGAGGGCAAGGTCCCTCCTAGGATTCAGAGAGGATTTCCTTGACCACTAACGCCATGAAGCCACCCAGTCACTCGTGACATCTCAATTTAATTTTCTGCAGCACACTCACTACTTTCTGAAATGTTTGTTACTGTTTTGTTTTTAGTTGGTTTTTTTTTGCCAGCTTAAAAAAAATTATTATCTCAAAATTTTTGTGGATCAGAATTCCAAGCACAGTTTGACTGGGTTCTCTGCTCAGAGAACTATAGTCAAGGCGCCAGTTGGGGCCAGGGTCTCATCTGAGGCTGGGTCCTCTCCCAAGATCTAATGTTGTTGTCAGAATTCATTTCCTGGCAGCTGTAGGATTCAGAACGTTTGGTTTCTCAAGGGCAGCAGGAGAGAGAGAGTCTCTGACTTCTTTAATCTCTAACCTTCAGATCTTTCTTTTAAGACTTTATTTTTTAGCATAGAAAAACTAAAGACCCAGCGGCACGAGACCCCAACCTGCCGTGACCCGCCCTGTGTGAGCCTCGGGATGCCTCTGCCGTGCCAGCCCCGCCAGCCCCACCAGCCCCACCAGCCCTGCCAGCCCCACCAGCCCTGCCAGCCCTGCAAGAGCCTTGAGTCCTGGCCTGTGAGAGATGCTCCATGCACCTCCTGGTGACCGGTTGTGGTCGTGACGCCATAACGGCCTTTTCTGATATAGATTAAATGGGTAGCACAGAGTTCCCATTTTACTCTCTACCCCTGAACATGGCTTTCCCTGTTATTAATATCTGGTATTAGTGGTGTATATTTGTTATAATTAATAAGTATTGGTTCATTATTAATAACTACTATCCATAGTTTATCCAGATTCTTATGTTTTACCGATGTCCTTTTTCTGTTCCCGAGTCCCATGAAGGATTCCTCATCACACTTAGTTGTCATGTCTCTTTGGGCTCCTCTCACTGTGACAATTTCTCAGACTGTCTTTGTTTTTAATGACCTTGACTGTGTTGTGGAGTGTTGGTCATCTGTATTGTTTGAGGAGTGTTGGTCATCTGTATTGTAGGATGCTCCTCTGTTGGGACTTGTGTGATGTTTGTCTCATGAGTAGACTGGTTTATGAATTGGGGGAGAAAAACCACACAGGCAGGTGCCATTTCCATCACATCATTTCAAGGGAATAGCCATGATTTGTTTATGACAGCTGATGATGACCTTGGTCATCTGGCTGAAGTAGTGGGTGTTAGCTTTCTCCTCTGTGAACTTACTCTTTCTTCCCTGTTTCCATACTGTCTGCTTTGGAAGGAAGTCATAGTC